CAGGCTGTTTTATTTGAAAATCTGTACGTGAAATATCATCAAATATTTCAAAAAGGATTTTTTTGTACACTGTGGAGTAGCTTCACAGAAGATGAGCACTAATCCTGAACTACAAAAGCCAATTTTGTAATTTTCTTGATTCCAACCAAGACCCATGAAAAAAATTCACCCTCTGCTTTTAGGCAGCATGTACTTTCACAGCAGTTATCTGTCAAGCAAGAACTTTTTTCACAAGATTATCCCATTAACTTCTCCAAATTCTAATGAAGACCACCATGTTACCAGTATTCCACAAATAAACAACCTGTGGATATGAAATAATCTAGCTGAACAACAGCACTTTGGATTGCACATTCTTCTGATGATACCATTATATCCACTGGCACCTCTGTAGCTTAAAATGGAGAAGAGAAAAATCATTATGAAAACCAGATACTACAGTGTGACTCTTGAAAAAGCAGAGACTGCTTTAGTTAAGTTAATGATTCTGTGGATCAGGCAAGACATTTCCTACCGACACTGCAACTCAGCAATCAGCAGTTTACGACACTGACAGATACAAGTTATTCAAGATCTGTTTATGCCATCAGGTAACTACAACTATGAAAGACAGCAGCAAAATTACACTCAGACAACTGGCAGTAAGTGAAAATAAAAAGCTGCTAATTCCAGAAAAAACCCCAAACAATTAGTCAAAACTTCAGGAACATCAAAAGTCATTCAAATTATACCCTCATATCCCTATATTGGTCAACTTAACCTTTTGTAAGAGACATTTAAGAAAAGTGCATATAATTTAGAGAAATGTTCAGTCTGTGTTTGAAAAAGCTGTAAGAAATACTTGTTTTAATGATGACATCAACCCATCACTGCTACTTTACTGAAAAGTAGAAGCATGCCTTCATTTTTGGGGCAAAACAGCTTGATTACCCTTATGAAGTAGGAAACAGCGAAAGCCAAATTACATTTCAGACTGAAATATGGGCTACAGCCTATACAGGACATAACAGACTCTTTGTCAGGGGTGGGCAATGTAGATTTAATTTCCTTCAGAATGTGGACAGCCTGAAATTCATTCTGATTTCACTGGAAACTATTTGACCACTTCTTTATTAGGCATAGGTAGGCAACACTTTGTTTTAATTTCTGATCCATAGCACATGACAATAAAGATGAGACGCAGCCTTTGCCTTTCATTGCAAGGCACTGTCCTCGGGTTTGGAACTTGTTTTGTTGTTTGTTTGGGTTTTTTTTAAGTTGATACTTATTTCAAAAGTCACCTTTTATCTATATTTTGCACAAGTTAATTTTAGAATTAAACTCCCAGAGTCAAGGATTTTTCTTTGTGTTCAAAGGCCATTACCTACGAACTTGAGCTATGGGGCAGAGGGGAGCAGGCCCTGCAGAGTACCTTGACTTTTCTTTTCCAGGAGGTTTAGCAGTTTTTTCAACACGTCCATTTTCTTGCTTTTTAGACACTCTCATACCTCCAGCTTTAACTGCAAGAAGAAAGTACAATTTAAGTAAAAAATCTACAAAATTACATACTCTTGGAGAACAAAATACTTATACCCCAGATAACTGTTAACCAGAAATCACCTGCCAGTATTTATTTCCACGCTTCACTTGTACACACGCACACACAGGAGCAGCCCAAGAGATCCAGTAAAGGCTTCAGAGTTCTGTGTCATGGCAGACTTGAATCAACTGCCAGATACCAAAACCAAGAAATCAGAGGGGTTTCTGTCACTGCTAACTATACTAAATCACTGTGTTATATGCATTCTTCCCCAGACACTCTTACATGTGAGATTTGTATTTTAAATATAAAAAAGAAAACCAAACCAACATCTGAACACTTTCAGGTTTTGGAACAATATCACTAACAGCAATAAAGACTTCATGATTAGTTCAAGGTATTCTAGAATAAATAATGCAAATAAGAACCAGCTGCATACTACTTGTGTTCCAACATGTTTAATTATATTTTATTAAGATATCTGCCAATCACAAAACCAATTAGCACTAATTGAGCTACAGGCAACCTAAGAGTAACAATTTAAGTTCTGAGGCATTTGTGAAAATTCAATTCTGAACAAAGTTCTCTAAAATATTCTCTTGAAAGAAACACTTTCTCCCTCTTCAGGAGGATATTTTAAATTCTGGGATGTACTACATAGCTGTTTTGTCATTTGTTTTTCAAAGCAATAGAAAGCTATGCCAGAGTTTTAATACAGAGTTCAATTTTGGGGTATTTATAAGTGCCCTGTTAGCCGTGTAATCTAACAGTTAAGGGCCTAAATCTTTACTATTTTCCATATTTGAACAACATGTATTTTTAAAGTAAAAAAGAAAGTAAGGAGGAACATCCCCCTTTACGCCCTCCTACCAAATAAAAAAACCCCAAGCCCCAAACCAAAAAACAAAACCCCCACAACACAAAGCCAAACTCAACACATCCAGATTAAATAAAGCCAACTGAAAACTAAAGCCCTGAGCTCAGCTGAATCCCTGTCAGGGTAAAGGTGTCCACTGGAACCACCTTGTTCACTACATGCATGGTTCAAATCACTTCCTCCTGCCACCCTCCCCTCTGCCAGAGCTGCCCCCGCTGCAGTCACAGACACCCCTCACCACAACTTACTTGCAGACTGGCAAGACTGCAAGTTGCAGTTCCCTGTCACGGAGATTCAGGACGGCCAGAACCCGCCCCAGGTCACAGACTGCAGGGCTGCAAAGGCCCTTTCAGCACAGCCCAGCCGTCCCTGCCACAGCACAGGCATCCAGCAAGGGGCTAGACACCAGCGAGCCTGAAAAAACTACTTATATCATAAATCCATGTGAAAGTATGCTTAAAACCCCCAAAAGGAACAAAAAATACTTTCAAGAAAGCAAAACACATCTTAGGGATACACTGAGACACACAAGCCAGGCCTGTGCTCTTCAGACAGTAAGTGTTCCTCTTACACCGGGGGGCACTCCAGCTGGCTCAGTGTCTGTGGCGAGTGTCCCTCAGCTCTAAGGGCTGTCCCTCCGCTCTAAGGGCTGTCCCTCCGCTCTGCAGATGAGCCTGCAGCAGCTCCGCTGTGCCCCAGGACAGGCGGGACACAGCTCACGCACTCGTGTGCTCCGCACAGCTCTCGGGCTGGCCCAGCAGCTGCTCTCACCCTGTACGCCTCTACAGGCTCCTCAAAAAACCCGGCGTGCGCTTAAACACTCGCTACAACTCCCTCACAACCCGCTGCTAACCCCACACAAGCCTCGCACGGGCAGCGCGGCGGCGGGAGCGGGCGGCTGTGCTCGAAGGCTCCCTCAGAGTGCCATCAGAGGGGGGAAAGGAAGATTTTCACGTTACGACAGGAGGTGAGGAATAGGGCTGGCACCCTAAACAGGTATTTCACTACAGAAGGACGCCCATTTCTGTCCCCGTCTCTCCCGATCCCCGAGGGGCGCAGCCCTGCTCCCGCACACCGAGCGCGCCAGGGACGGGTCTGGTCGGGACCTGCCGGGCCGAGCGGGCCGCGCATCACGGACCCGCCTCAGCCACCCCCGCTCCCTCACGGCCGCTCCTCGCCGCGGAGGAGCGCCGTCTGTCCGGGACGGAGCGGCGGGAGAGCCCCTCACACTGCCCCCGGAGCCATCCCGGCCCCTACCTGCGGGAGGGCACCGGCCCGGCGGGACGCGCCTCCTCCGTGCCATGGCGGAACCGGGAACGGCGCACCGGGGTCCGGGAACGCCGAGAACCACACACCGTTCCGGCCAGCAGCGCCCTGTGCGGTTCGGGGTGGGCGGGGCGGGGAGCAGCGCTGAGGGCGGTGAAGGGCGGTGAGGGAAGGGCGATGAGGGGCGTTGGCTGAGGGGCAGCGAGCGGCCGTGAGGGACGATGAGTGAGGGGCAATGAGGGCAGTGAGGGGCGGTGAGGGCAGTGAGGGGTGATGAGGGGAGTGAGGGGTGATG